AGAAAAACAGGGCTATAAATCCCCCCCCCCCCCCCCCCCCCCCTCTTTCTCTCCTTCAAACACACACACACAAAGTCACATAAATACATTTCAGATTGCATATATACGTTCATAATGGCAAGTAGATTTTCTATGTGGTGAACCATGTACCACTACAGATAACAGCATACAAAACACATTCAGGCCAAATAGCAGCTGAAGCATTGAAGTCGGTGGCAATACAGTCTTTGCAGAGATGCTACAGAAAAATGGCAGAACATAAAAGGCAAAAGATATGATCATATCTGATAGAGGGTGCTGCTCATTTACTATACAATGACTCCAGATTGAGATATGCATTAGGGGTTGCATGACAATGTGTCTCCCTGCTTTTGTGTGCAGTCAGAAAGGAAATAATTTCTAACATGGTGTCATTTCACTGGGAGAAACACTGTAGTCAAGAAAGACAAACTGCATGGCATGATATTAGTGATGCGAATACACATACGCATGCACACAAGCATACTGTCTGTATGTATGCGTGCAACCCTGCGAGGGGGGAGTGGGGGGTGCTAAACAACCCCTATACACAGTTTATGCAGTGTCAGTAAAATATTAGGCAGCCATTTCAGCATTTGGAAATTCACATCTCCCACTTCAAAAGGATGATTTCCGTTGTTGAAGTGAGTGTCAGATTTGTAGAGATGTGTTTTTTCCCCTATTCTCCCTCAGAGACAGGGCCATAAATTGTTTGATAGTAAGCAGAACGGGAGAGAGGGAGAAAGAGAGTGAAAGACAGAATCGATTGTGAGATGCTAAAGTGAGATTGTTGAATTCTTTTTGTCATTCAAGACAAGACCGTCAATCTTTCTCCGTGCGTAATGGAGAGGGGATCGGGCTACCGGACACTACTGTTGTGCGTAAAACCTGTTGAGTGAGCGGTCCAAATTCACTTCTCTGTGTGACAGCTTAGAGCAATAGCGATGTTGTTGCTATGAGCTATGAGATCTACAGCTGTGTGATGATAAACAGACATTTGGGAATTGTTTTTTGAGAGTGGTGTGTGACAACTGGATAGGCTAAAAGCAAGATTATCCCTCTTATCATGTCCTTTGGTGCACTATGGTTCGCTCATAAAATCTTATTTTCCTTAACCAAAAATTGTTGGAATTCCCTGTTTTGATAAAAGTGTTAAAATGTGCCTTCAATACAGCACCACAACTGGAATGATCACCTCACACAAACTGGCAGACGTTTAAGACAAACAAAATGTTCAGGTTGAATATGAGACCGAATGACGTGTTGAGATGAGCGTGTTTGCGCTGCACGGGTCAACTGCCAAACACAGCGCCAACACTTGACAATGAAAACAGGCTTTGCTCGCCGGAGCACAGCGAGGGAGGCGAGTTAACCTGAGAGTGACATGTAGCTATTATACTGTGGAGCTGTATCTCTCCAAGAAAACTGACAGGTGGTGCAGGCACAGCGGGGCTCGGAGCCGGAGAAATAAGACATACAAGGGGGGGGGGGGGGGGGTTCATGTTTTGACCTAATGCGACTGTTTAGAAATCATCATGCACTGCTGGACATGTGCGCCATGGATACATTGCAGGTGAAGTCATTACAAACACATCTTTATACGTATGTTGGCACAATTCTGTAGTGAAATTACGCAGGGCGCTTTATTGAATACGTAGAAGTAGAAAAACAACCCAAACTCCCACGCACATACCCTCCCCCCTCCAATTTCTGCACATTCATCTGTACAAATCACTTTTCCTTCCCATCAAAATGGTGAACTATATGCCACACAGCACACCTCACAGTCCCCAAAACTACTCGGGTATTACACCGTGGTGTTTAAAGATAGAGACAGATAAAGAGGGAGAAGAGGTAAAAAAAACCCTCCTAAGTTGTTGTCACATCACTTCCATTAGCCACTAAAGCCTCAGTTGTCCAATCCAGACGCAACATCTCTGAGTGAATCGTGCGGGTGTAGCCTAGTAGCCACCAGAGTCTGACTCATACCGCAATTACTGGGCTCCCCCTTCAAGCACTTCTCTAGTCGGTGTCTACTTTTATTCCAAATTTACACACAGCCGGTGATCTGCAACGCCGCAGATCAGCGGCTCAGGCCGTTCTCAAGAATACACAGGGGTGCCTCGTAAAGGAAAGAGAAAATAGAGGTGATATTACAGCAGATCAGACGCCCAAACTACCCTTCTTACTTAAAATGTGGGATGAAATGGTCGTGGAATTTCGTGTGTTCTTACTGAAATCAGGAAAAAAATATACAGACATTAAATGGCATAAGTGACATTTCATCTTGCACACACACATACTCTATGGGTCTAAATATTTTTTTTAAAAAAAGGGGGAAACATAATGTTTACGCAATCAAATGCAAAAAGTGCAGACACAATATAGGTGCCAAAGTGTTTTATATCTTTGCAGAAACACTGTAACGCAGACAGCGTTCAGTTCAATGTGGAGTGTGTGTTGCAGGAGGCCTGTCGACCGAAACTGGATAAAACCGGAATCACATTAATTGATGAAATAATTATAGCAAGAGCTCTCACTCCATCTCGATCACTCCATGGCATTTTTTCCTTGAAATCTGCACAATCACTGATTGCATCTCTTCAAAGTCCACACCACAGCGACTGTCGTTTTTTTCTGACTCATTCTTAAATGTATTAATTGTAATAATTATTTAAGCCTTTTCCAATTTCTCAGGCCCTCTCCCGCCTCTCCTGGCCTGTGAGGCCTGAGAGTGGATTCCCACACAGCCCTCAGCTGAGTTTTTCTCAATTTTATTTCCATAAAATGACAAGCAACCTCCCAAATCATGACAAAGAAGAATGAGTGCATCCTCCCCCCCCTCCTCTCCCTCTATCTATCCATCTATCCATCCCTCTCCCTCTCCCCCTCCTCTCCGCACTCATGGGTGCAGGTGTGCTGATATGCAGCCAAACCAAAGCAACAAACGGTCAGTAATAACCAAAATGAATGTCAAATTAATGACAGGAAAAAAAGATGAGGAAAAAGACAAAATTCACTTAAAATTATGCAGTGGTGTGATCTGAAATATATTTCCATACTGATGTGTTAAAATAAGCAGAGACTTGTGTGCCATTCTAGGAGGCGCGGCCGAGCCAGGAAAATACGCAGTACTAATGCATATGCATGTATGATAATAGATCTACCTTTCCCCCTTAAAATAAAGTTTATTAAAAATTATATACATCTAAAATACACAGCAGCCACACGAGACAATAAATCACAGTCGAATCGTGCAAAATGAGCGGAACATGGCGCTGAAAAACAACGGAAAATGGAAGTTTGTTTTCCACTGCGTTATCTACATCTCTCCCATCTCAAGCACTCTTTCCGCTCCAGTGGCTGTTTGCAGCCCCCAACCCTCCTCCCCTCACCACACACACACACACACACACACACATACACATTCACAGGCACACACACACACACACACAGAGTACATCTCGTTCAGTCACGGGACAGGGCGATGTACAGTGTGTATAATCGAAATAGACCCTGTAATCCAATTACATACAACAAAAACAGCACAGAAGTCCTCGCCGCAGCTGCAGCCTGGCAGAGGGCACTGCCAAGGCCAATGATGGAGACCAGGACCATGAAACACGCGTACTGCCCACAGTTATAAACAAATGCTTAAAGATTGTTTAAATTTTCATTAATAATAAGGTTTATAATCAGTCATCTTCAGCTACAGACCCGTGCGTAAAGAAAAACGTATGAAAATCAAGTGAAAAATAAAATCTTTTTTCACACTGTGTGGTTGTTACGAAGTGATAGAAATTCACATATAACAAAAGAACGGATCATTTTATATTTAAAAAGGCAAAGTGAATCATTCTCTTCCATCTGCAGTATTTAGAGCGAAGCCAATCAGTAGAATCTGGTGCCACAGAAAATGGTGGATGAATAATTAGACCAGGGATGATAACAACTGAGTGTGCACACACTGACACTCCTACATTTTATCAAAGGAAACAAACTGTAATATATGGCCTCGTCTTTTAAATATCCAACTGGGGCACATTATCTCCAAATTACAGGCCAGCGCTCAATACCCCCAGCATCAGTTCACACGTCTCTCATAAAATGTATTGACCCTTGTAGCCACACAGCCGCACACACACACACCTCAGCACACACGCACACACAAACTGGTGTTTATGCACTATTTTAGTGCTCCTTCCAAAAAAATTAGCTGATAAAAAAGGATGCTTTAACCCCTAGGGTCCCCCCTTCTTCTCCCTCCCTCCCTGCGCGCACGCACACACAACACACACACACATGCACTGACATCTTATTTGTGTTGGGACGGGGCAGAAAAAGTCAGCAAATACATTAAACTCCTCTGCCCACTTGGACTTCTGCGAGTAAACAGCCTACAGCTGTGGCCAGCATCAGCGCTCGAGGTCGCCCGTCTGCCCGTGCGCGCGCCTGCAGATCCTTATCAGCCTCTCCTCCTATTCAACAGCCTCCATATTCACGACACCTCCACATATTCATCATGCAAAATGCAAATGCCGTTGTCTTTTTCATCATAGCGGACGCAGTGTGCACTTTTGATCTCCGCGTGGTTTTTCCTCACTGCTCGTCCTAATTAAGTGCATATTGATTTTATGCTCATAAGATTTTTTTGATCGTTTTTAATCGTATTATCAGCTGATCATTATGAGACACACTGGGAACGCAGGAGGAATCCGAGCACTCGTTCAGGAGGAAAATAAACGCAGATCAGGAAAACATCATTTCAAAAACATTAAGAAAAAGTTACCACTCTTCCTCCAAAGGTGATTTAGAGTTTGATTTGACACCTCTGACCCTCCTTTGTGAATGCAATCAATTCACTCCAACAGCATTCATCAACCTGATAAGCTAATAAACACGCACAGCCAACTTCAGCATTGCACTGGAGAGGAGACAGCATGCAGATAAGCAACACTTGAGGAGACACATTTCCAACCTACCTTCTTGCAAAGAATACAGCAGAAGTAAAGTTACAAGCCACATGCCATTAAAAGCAGTTATATTTCACAGGAATGTTGTGCAGTCCCCCAAGAAGAGTGCACGGCGCAGCGGTCGGCCAGGCGAGGCTCCGTGCTGGACTGGTTCTGCTAATGCTCCCCGGCGGTCTCTCCAGCCCTGGTCCCACACTCTCCAGCGCCGAGAAACGAGCCGCGGAGAAAGTACCGCCTCTGCTCCCTGTTCTCTCCTCCCCTTACCGGGACAGGCTGCTGTCGCCCCACCCCCGGTATCCTAATGATGCGCCGTGATGGAGAGGTGAGCTATACGCACTAACGGGGGAACAAACGGAAACCACTTTATTACGCGCACTGGATAGCTTTTATCCGGCAGCCTGATGAAGCTCCAGCTACAAAAGTTCAAAATATCCTCTCATACTTATCATTTAAATCGTGTTTCTTAGTGTTGAAGTTAAAAACAAAGCAGCCGTTGAGGGGGAAATGCCTGCGCGTATTTCCAATGCAAATCAACTCGAGAATTTCCATAAATCAGTTGTCATTGTCTTAGCAGTGGTGCGCACATGCAGGGAGTGAAAGCCAAACCAACTGAATGTGCCATTGTGAAGTCAGAAAAGAACACGGGCATTGAGGAGTGCGAAGTCCAGGTGAGGAGGAGCAGGAGCGCAGAGAAGCTTCAGCCTCCGTTTCATTCAAGGGGAAGGTGGGAATGTGCGCTGCGCTGCGCAGCTGCGCGTCACTACGAACACTCGTAGCGCTCAAATTACTTCTCTTCATAACAGACTGAATGGGTTTGAGATTAAAACAAAACACTGTAGGGGATTATCTAAGATCAGCTTAATTTAAAGAGTGTGTACTGATCGATATGGTCAATAAAATCATTATCTAATCTCGCCCTTTGACACTCTGACACACACACAAAGACACACACACACACACACACACACACACACGCACACGGAGAAAGGCCGATGCCCTCACAGATGCACTGATCAGTCATCTTTGTTGGTTACCAGCTCCAGAATCATGTCTGAACAAAACTTACTTCACTTTAATCTGTATCTTAACCATTAAGTTATATTAAAAATACAATAACAAATATGGCCCAAACAACAGCAACACAACCTCTGAAGAATACAGTGAGTTAAACAGGTTGCAAACTACTTTAACTGTGGAAGAAGGATTTTTCCAGACAACCTGCGAGTTCTGCAGTCAAACAAGCCTGTTTTGCATTTTAGTACCTGACCAAGACACAATCTAAACATCTGACTTCAACCTCTGACCATGGTTTATCTCATTAGTTCATCATAATCTGGATCAATACATAATAGCATCAGCAGCCCAGTGGGAGCAGATGCTCTAACTGATGTAGTGTCAGTATCACTGTACTGACTGATCTACTGCCTTTCTATGAAATCATTTTCATCCCAAACAAGTTTTGGGCCATTATATTTCACTCTAAATCAATTATTAGAGAAAATCAATCAACTGAACCACACGGCCTCAACACTGCACGGGTTTAAAGCTGTCTCATTCAATCCTCTCCTCTCTACTGCCATTCAGTCCAACTCCTGAATAATCAACACACAATAAAATAAATACCAAAACACAGCTGACTGTTGTTCATCCAATTCAGACCAACCGCCAGAAACTCTACTCGTTGTCCACTCAGTCGCACTACTTATCTGACATCAAACACCTTCTACTTGACATAACCTCCACCGTCACTCTCTCTGTTTCTCTCTCAGTAATATAATGTGGCGTTTGGAGTGTCGTAACCGAAAGTAGTCCTGGTTGTGGAATGGAGCTGAGGCAAGCTGTGGCCTCTCTCACTCCCACTGAAGAGCCGCTGTAGTGTGGCAGGCAAGGCAGCACACTCTGCCTCCACTCTCTTATTATGTAACAGGTGGAAAGACACACACCCACGCACCCTCCATGTCTCTCTCTCTTTCGAAACAGACCCACGAACGTGCACGCACAAACACCACGGGACGACAGGGACACATGAAGAGTGTGCCCAGAAGCACTGCCATGACACATTCTGTACATCCAGATGTGCAGTCTAAATTCTTTTTTATAGATAAACACATATTCAGGTTTATGCACCGCCCCCAGCCACTAACTAAAGGACAGGTATAAAAGTGCAGCCTGTAGTGTGCGGTGAGTAAAACTCTTGTTTAAAAGGACTCAGGGAATATTATCCATCTCAGCGTCAAGTATTTCTCCTCTCCCAATGACAAACTGGCCGTATAACAGCACCCAACACCTTGACACCCAAACCGAGCTCCTCATCCACAAGGCTCCACCCTGCAGCCCTGCAACACATGAAGGACTCCGTCAGGACTTCAAAAGGCAGTGTGGCAAGCTGGTTAAGGGGCTGATGTGAGTCGGCCTGACAGCACCAAGCAGGTTGTACTGTATGTCAGCCAGTGATCATCATGGGGGCTGACAGGCTGAGCTGGGCCAGCCAGGCCGGAGAAAAGGCAAGCAGCTCCCAGACAGCTCGAGTGACTGTCACTGAGGACAGGACCCAGGACAGGCTGCCACCACACCACTAAAAAAACCACGGCACCATGTGACTCATCTCCATCACTCTCCCCGTCACTCTGCTGCTCCGTCGTTGCCTGGAGATAGGGAAGGAGATAGGAAATGAGGGAGTTTGTTGGCTGAGGAAGAAAACGGGTGAGCCGGGCAGCGGAGAGACAGACAGCAGAGGGAGAGGTGACGGGCAAACAGAGAGAGTGATGAGGCGGATGAGTTAATGTGGATGTTAATGTTAATGCTCAGACAATCAAAGCTCCCCCTCAGGCCCTGACTACATGCTAGGATCATATTAACGCTAATGTATCCAGTATTAATGCACAGCCCTGCAGCCCAGTCAAACCTCAGCAAGGTCAGAATTAGGAGAAGAAGAGGGCACATGGTAGGACTGCTTAGCTGTGTGCAAGGTCACAGGGATCGAAATGAAAATGGGGAGAGCTGCAGGAATGGGACTGATGGTGGTTAGAGGAGCTGGAAAAGGCAAATCACTTGATGATGGATCAAATGGAGGAGTTATGCACCTTTAAAACCAAATCATGGCAGTGAAGACCGACTTTAAAAACAGAAAGACTGCAGTTTGTGTTAAGTGTCACTCTTTAACAGTCAAAGCCCCGAGCACTGTGCTGCAGAACTCCTTCACCTCAGTGGGGCCGCCTAGCTAGCTCTGCATGCCGCTGTGTATGAACGAGCCCCTGCATTAGGCTAATATGAATCACACACCACCGTGCCGCAGTACATTAGCAGGAAGGCGCCGACCAATGGAGTGTGTTTGCCTTTAAACCAAGCATGCGTGATTGTTGTGGCAGATGTGTGAGAGTGTATCAGCACATCAGAGGATGTGTGCGTGTGTGAGCATGTGTCTACATGGCAGCAAAGCGAAGGACATATATTCCTGGCTGCTCTCCTACCCTACAGTCGGGTGTGCATGCACATGTATTTGGGCGTGCGCGTTTGCTTGAGTGTGTGTACGTGCTTGCGTATGTGTGCTTTTTGCATGAGTACGTGCGCGTGCACATGAGACATCAAGGGGTGTTAATTTATTCAAATGAGCTGGGGAGGATAACGAGAGGATGGGGCGAGGGGCGGAGGTGGTGTGTGTAGGGGGGCACCTTCTTCGGCTGGAGGTTCATCTCTCCATTTCTCTCTCTTTTTTTTCCCTCCCCACTTGTTTTTTCACATTTGCAAATGAGACTATTTGCATGGCTGAGAAGGAGGGAGGCAAGGGAGATGGGGGAGAAAGATGATGAGATTGAAAAAGAGAAAAAAAAACTGAAGATGGGGAAACGGTGTGATTCTGAGGCAGACAGAACGCCCGCAGACAAAAACATACCGTGCCAGGGCGATACCACCACTTCCAAGATGGCTGCCGCTGGAGGCGTCCTCTGTGGGACCAACCTAGAGACCCGTTGCTCTCGCTCCTTAGTGGGTGACACACAAACACACTTTCTGACTTCGGCTGTGTTCTTCAAGCATAACGAGGAGAATGAAATTTGAACAGCTCAGTAAAGGATTAACATTTATCATCTGAATTTGAATATATTAAAGACGGAGTCAGATGAACATGGTTGTGGCTTGTACAGAGATATTGATCAGAGATATCTAGTGACACCCAGTGGTCACAATTAAAGATGTTATCATTAGAAGATCATACACTGCTGAATCCCCCACATGGGCTGATCTTTGCTATGATTTCAGTGGGGAAAACTGATTGATGACTCCAAGTCAAGGTGTTGGTCCATAGATCAATGCTGCCAAAAGTTTGACTTGTTGATCAGTTCTGTGTCTCATTAAAGTAATTTGGTTTTCCAAAGAGACTGAAACACTGAATTTTTATTAAATGAAACCAAAAATATGTTGCCAGGCACGCTTTAAAGCTACAGTTGGTAACTTTTAACACAATAAGTTTATGTCATATTTGCTGAGACTGTCATTATATTCTTAGAGAAGTGTATGAGACAGATAATCACTCCAGAAAATCATGTCCCTCCTCCCTTTTCTGCTGCTTCTAATGGCATTTGCTAGAGTCTACCACAGCACACCAAAACAACCAATCAGAGCTGAGGAGTCTCTAACACAGCTGTCAATCATGCCAATCAGTGCTCATGAACTGCCTTTAAACTGTAAAACTAGGCAGTGCTGATCAAATATGAATCAAGAGTCTGTTACTACATTGCCTAATTTTCATTCAGTCATTCATTTTCCGTAAATGCTTATTCTGTTAGCAGATGCAGGGGGGCTGGAGCCTATCCCAGCTTACACCGGGTGAGAGGCGGGGTACACCCTGGACAGGTCGCCAGACTATCAACCATTCACGCTCACATTCACACCTACAGCCAATTTAGAGTCACCAATTACGGGGAGAACATGCAAGCACCGCACAGGAGGGCTACCCCACCCCAAATTCGAACCCCCGACCCCGGGTTTGAACCAGGAACCCTCTTGCTGTAAGGCAACAGTGCACCACCACGTCGCCCTGCATTGTCTATTTCCCTCCTCAGTGTTTCCAGAAACATATTTAGTGTACGGTTTAGCTGTAAAATGAGAAAGTTTGTGACCCGGCCACCATGTTGGATACAGTTAAACTGAGTACCAAGCACCGCTCAATGGCCAGATCAACTTTCTCATTTAACAGCTAAACAGTACACTAAAAT